AGGGAAGTGAGGTGTGGGAGAATAAAACTGAGCTCTGGAGAAATGTTTGGCTAGAGTTTCCCCTACAATATGTACCAGTTCCGACTTACATACAAATTCAACTTAAGAACAAACCCACAGTCCCTATCTTGTACATAACCCGGGGACTGCCTGTAGTTCTTTTGAGCTCTTTTCCTGTCATAGAATTGTCTCTTAACAATCAAGTGATTGCAGAGTAGTGATGCTCTCCTTTCCTGCTTATCTCCCCCCTCCAAACAGTACCCTATTAAATTTACACAATACAATCACATAGAATATATCCAAGTAACCAGGACAACATACAGTATGTGATACACTATTATGCTACGTCTAAGTCCCTATCTTGTACATAAAGAGGAAATGCAAATGGAGTGCTCATTTGCATATGTCATGTGCTCATTTGCATTTCCTCCTCAGATCTCTTTTGTGCAAGAGGTTTTTGTGCAAAAAAGCGCTGTATAGATGGCTCCTTTTTGCTCAAAAATCCCCTTTTGCACAAGAGCCTGTTCTTTCTCGAGGAAGGAGCCATCTACACAGCACTTTTTTGCGCAAAAACCTCTTGCGCAAAAGAGATCCGAAGAGGAAATGCAAATGAGCACATGACATATGCAAATGAGCACTCCATTTGCATTTCCTCTTGCGGAAGAAGCTTGCAGTATAGACGTAGCGTTAAAGAACATCTCCAAATCCATCAGACTTTAAGTACCTGGCTGAATGAGAGCATTTATCAGGATTACCAGAGTTCTGTCAACTGTCTAGGCATGTGAGCACAAGTAAGTTAAATGCACTGTAAATTCCTTAAAACTGATTACAATTTAAACCAGAATCTGTAAATAAGGAAGGGGTTGAGGCTAGGGCTTTTGTGGGCCTTGTCAGATACACTTTGGCTGAGGCACAGAATCTGGATTACACAGTTTACCTATGCTCTTTGCAATGTTTTGGAAGCCAATAAAGCTTCAAAATATAGCATTCTGAACCATTAAAAAAAAATCCACCCATTCTGGAATGAATGAGTCCTGTTTTCTCTGTCTCTATTAAACTGCAGAATCCCCCAAGCAGGAACCATCCTTACTGCTGTATCTGGTACAATACTGGTCATATCACCAGAGCAAAACAAATTCAGGATGTCATATTTTGGGACAAGTATATTGTACCACTACCAAAAATAAAAATCATTGTGATTCAGAAATTATAGTATCATGGTAAATTGTATGTTTTATTCCCCTTGTATATATATCAGATCCAGGGTGACTTCAATGAAGTGCCCCAAGTGTACAGGAATGTACTTAGATGATTCTATATATAGAAAAGGGACATTGCTTATAAAAATTTGGGGGGGGAAAACACCTTTTGTTTGGCAAATATTTAGTGCATTGTGGGTGTCAATGAAAACATATAGTAAATATTAATTTCATTTCTGTGTATACTTTTCCAATATAACAGTGTTATTGGTTAAAGACACTTTATAAAATTCAAGACTTTTTCCTCACTGTTGAAAATAAACACAGCACTGGATTTGTGCAGGGTCTTCATGAAGCTTAAGTCATGTATGTATGTGTCCCAGTTCTACTAGTACAGCTACACAGCTGCAGTGTACTTGAAGATGCTCTATGCTGAAGGGCATAAAAAAACCCACCTCCAGGAGTGACAGAAACAATATTGATGGGAAAAGCTCTCCTGCTGACTCAGCACAGGAGCTGTGCACAGGAGAACTCACCTCTGTGTAACTTATGAATAAACCATGTCCCTGAACAACATAAGCTGTAGTGTAGACACAGTCTTAGATCAAATTTCATTTTGTTTCATCTGTATGAAGACAGAGTAGAAGGGGTGTTCTCTATTATTTCAGTACACACAAGCACCACAAATCCCAGTCCTGAAAGATACCAAACACCTGCAGTTCTCATGGTAATCAACATGAGCTTTCTGTGCTCTCAAGATCCTTTGCCATAAAAATATTTAAACAGAGCCTTTCACAACATTTTAATTCCACTGACTGCAAGACATCACTCCTAATTTACAATCAAAATCAAGGTTTATATAGGTATAACTCTAACAATAGATACAATATTAATTTAAATCTATTATGCTATTTTAATAGACAATTTAATCATCTTCTGTTATTTAGTTTTGCCATGCAACTATACATACATTAAAGTAAACAGGTTTCTTCATTAGCTATCAGGGCTACAAACTTGATTATAACAAAATTCAAATTCTTCTAGATAAAAAATTTGAGATAAATAGTAATTTTTAAAAAATAGTTTTTGTATTTAAATTACATATTTTACTTTTGAATAATGTATTTGTTATTATGATGACCCATACTAAGGCCTGAATTTGTTTTAATCTATTTAAGCTATTTAAATAAAACAAACAGTATATATTTGCTGCAAAGCTTCTAAGTAAAAAATACTGAGCTGTTGAAAGCCAAAACACCTGGAACTAAAATTTGTTGAAGCACTAAATTGATCATAGTACAGTAGCTTCTTCTGCAGGCATAACAAGGATAAACTGAAATAAGAAAATATATCCAATGAGTTCCGTTAAAATGACTAATTCATTCAAAGTTAAAAACCAATTGGAAGTTGAAAAAACAGGAAAGCCTATTTTTCTCTTCCAATCTATGAATAAAAATGAGGTGTGAGAAGATATGATCCACTATGTAATTCTACAATTCTGAAGGACATGGTGACCAAAAACAGTCCAATTTATTAACTACAGATAGTATTTCTCTCTGTAATAAATCGGTTTTAAATACAAAACATGCTTTGAAAAACTTACTTTCCATTCCCTTATACAGTATATCAATACAATAAAGTGTTTAAATTAATAAAAACAACTTTAAATGCTAGCCTGTGCATTTTAACTGAATACCAACTTCCATCCACCTTGAGTGGGGCATAAATCCTGAGTAAAGAATAATAATCTACTAAATTAGAGATTGAGCAATCATTCTCTGTTGCCTACCACTTAAAAGTGTAAAACTTAAGAATCTAAATAAATGTAGAAGTTTGTAATTGTTTAAATAAATGTATACAGAGTGCTTCCTCCTGATTATCAAAAAGTAGTACCAAATTAGGTTACCAGCTAATAGAAATCAACATTTCTTTAGGATATTAACAAAGATGCAATCTAAAACAAGATTAAAATCACCTATGCCAATCAAGGTTTCCTGCTTCTCCTTTTAATAATTATTAAAATCACTTTTAGTTTAATCAATCCACTCTGCCACAAGCACATTTCTATATTTAAGCATGCATTGCTGGCAGAAGAAAGGAAACCTGCCTTACTCTAAATGTCCTTTACAAAATCAGAGAAGACAACCTGTTTTTCCCCCAGTTCACATTCTGATGAGTGGGGCTTTGCACATGAAGAAAAAGGTGTGGTGATTTTATTTTGATTGCATCTGTAAGCCAATACAAGTTTTCAACATTGGTTGACTGGCTCACACCATCCACAAATCTAATTAGAAATATGAAGTTACCAGTTGAACCCAGAGGCTGCATCTAGATTGGCATGATTTTCCGGAAATGCTTTTAACGGAAAAGTTTTCTGTTAAAAGCATTTTCGGAACAGAGCGTCTAGATTGGCACGAATGCTTTTCCGCAATAGCACTTTTTGCGAAAAAGCGTCCGTGTCAATCTAGACACTCTTTTCCACAAAAAAACCCCGATCGCTGTTTTCGCAATCAGGGCTTTTTTGCGGAAAACAAATCTGAGCTGTCTACACTGGCCCTTTTGCGCAAAACTTTTGCGCAAAAGGGACTTTTGCCTGAACGGGAGCAGAATAGCATTTCCACAAGAAGCACTGATTTCTTACAGTAGGAAGTCAGTGCTTTTGCAGAAATTCAAGCGGCCAGTGTAGACAGCTGGCAAGTTTTTCCGGAAAAAGCAGCTGATTTTCCGGAAAAACTGGCCAGTCTAGACACAGCCAGAGAGTATGAGCACATGAACCCATAAATGTGCCTTGCAACTTAGCTTTTCACACAGGCCAATTTCAATAATTGCTAAGCAGCAGTGAAAGTAACTTCGAGTGTCTTACAGGTATTGTCCTATTGCAACCCAGGTCCCTGCCTGTTCTTTAAATAGGTCTCTGCTGGCTTTTCCACAGCTCAGCCAGTTCTTGCTGGAGCTGCTCACCGCTTACTTTCTTTCACCTCTGGAGCTATGTAAAATGGCAAACAATCGTTCACTCTCAGGGCGCTAGTGATGTGCTGGCAGCTACCTGGTGCGCATTTGTGTAGGACCCAGCTCCTGCCACCTCTCAGAGCCGAGCCGCCACTCCTAGCAGCAACTCAAACTAAAACCCAGCAGGCTGCGACCCACGTAGGCAAAGACAACTAGCCCCATTCACAGCGAGCGGACTAAAAATGACCCAGGGGAGCCTTTAGCCTCCCACTCCGCATAGCTCCCTGTGCAGCCTCGTCAAGCCCTAAGAATAACTCCTGGCTCTGCTCCCGCCCGCAGCAGTAGGGTCCCCCTCCCCGCACACGTCAGCCCGTGTGCACTGAAGCCTCCCGCTGGGCCCGCGGAAGGCGGGAGAGCGACCAGGCAGCCCGGCCACGGGCCAGCGGCTGCC